GAATGATTTACTTTCAGGATAATGGGGAAGTCAAGGACTTTGTTCACTAACATCTTGAAGACAGGCCTGAATGCCAGGTTTTTCCTTCGTCCCAGATTAAAAGCAAAGTTACCTTTATTAGTGACAGCATTTAATTCATTTTCTTGCTTTCAGGCTGTTCTTTGTCATTTGCCTTTATCCTCCTGCCGCCCCAGTGTGGAGGAGATGTTCCTGTGGCTTTAGCTGTGCTGTTGGTGTGCGTTGGCACAGGGTTTTCCAAGTGACACAGCTCTCCTGTGCTGTTTTCCTGCAGTGCTCTGAGTTAATAAAGCCCAGCTTCCCTAAGCAGAGAGGGAGGTAATTAGCAGTTTTGCTGGGAAATGTCAGTGCCGTTGTTCCTGTGGAAGTGCCCGCATGCAGCAGCCCCGTGCGGGGCTCTGGGGCGTGTGCAATAAGGCAGGGTCAGGGTCCCATCCATTTTTAATATTCCTGGTGAACTTTGGACCATCACAAGTGTACGTGAGCCAAGAATGCAGGATGCAAACTAATGTGACTGATAGGCTGCGAGATGAATGGTGATTCAAGTATCAGTGCACAGATGGTTCTGATTTGCTGAGTTTTGTAGCTGCTGCAACTGAAGACATAAAATATCCTTCTAGTCATAAATTAGCTCTTTGGAAGCAAAACCTTGGCACCAGAGCTTTACAACCTTCAATTAGTAGGGAAAGAAGTATTTGAATGACTGTGGTATTGACATCTGTAGGCCTGCATAGTAATCATTCTTAATAGAAGAGAATATCTGTTTGAGGGGGTTTTGCATGGCTAATTAACCACCAGTGAGAATATGTAATTTTTTCATGATCTCCTGATTGTCACCTTTCTCTCATGATACAATTAGATTTTATTGTAGCAAGTGCCTCACGAACCAATTGTCAGCACTATTTACGTATTGTGGAAGGCAGAACAAAAGTTCATGTTTAATGAAAAGGTACCGGGTTTTGATCTTGGTAATTACAGATACTTAGTTTAGCACTTTTATTGACTTTTCTGGTTTTACCCCTTTTCTTTTTTTTATTTTAACAAAACCAAAAGCTGTTTTGGTGACTGGACTTGTGTGGCTGTGATGGTGACCACTGTGCCCTCACTCATTTGAGAAGCTCTTTTAAGTTTGCACTCTTTTGTGAACTGACTCGGAGCATCAGGTAGCTGTGAACTGATCTCCAGCTGATCCTGCTGGATCTCTGTTTCACAGGAGTCTTTGATTTCTTAGAGTCAGACACTAAATAGTAAATCTGTTTCCTTCTTAAGCCTGGTCAAAAGCTCGACAGTCTGTGGCATAAAAGATGATCCCAACCTTGCAGGCTGCAGGAGCTGCTGCTGCACTGGATATTTGCAGGTCACACCCCCCTGGAAAATCCCTGGCTGAGGAGTGAATGGTTATCACCATTCCTGTGCTGCAGGATTCAGTGGGATTGGGTGTGATAGCCAGGAACAGGATTGGGGGAATGCCTGGGTGTTACTAAATCTTGGCACCTGTCAGCACTTTCTCAGGGAAATCTGTAATGCTGTGTCTCACTTCTTGGAACAGTGAGAACACTGGGATCACCTGTGTATGACTGCAGCCTGTTCCTTCAGCCAGTTCTGCTGCTGACATGAGCCGGTTTCCTCTAAGCACTCATTGCAAAACAGCTGCAGAAAGGCAATTTTAGGGTTATCCAAAGGATTTAAGGACTACTTAAATACAAATAGAGAGGGCAGGTAACTGAACTCTCTTGAAATTTATTGCTATTTTTAGAAAATGCAATGTTTTAGTAGCCTGGTGCACTTGTGCTGCAGCCCTGACAGTGCTGGGTGACAGGCAGGCTCTTCCCAAAGCATTTCTTTGTGGCATTGCCTGGAGTGATCCTAGGCCTGATTCTTTTCATCTCAGTGTTCCCTTTCCCCCTCTCCTCCCATTAAAGAGACAACCTTGGAACAGTGGGAGCCACTGCAAACAAGCCACTGTCTCCTCACTTGTTGCTTGTGAGCAGGATCTGACTCCAGCTGATCTGTCTGATTCCTCCTGTACCACTTTGGTACACAGGAAATGAGATTTGGGGTTAATTCCCTTCTGAAGAGCTGTGAACACCTGTAACAGAGGCTCCTTGATGATGTGAAGAGCATTGCATGGATTTTAGGATATTGCTCCCTGTATAGAATCTGAATCTAATCTTGAGGTGGCATAAGAAGTGTAGCTGTAGCTATAGCCTGATTCTTGGTTCCAATTGCACACCAAAGATAGGTGATAAAATATTATTTGCATTAATTCCCGTATTTGTTTACCACATTTTTTTGCTCTGGATAAATATTTTCAGCTTTTCCCCCTACAGTGAAAGTGCTGATGTTGGGGCTAAATGAAAGTGGTGTGAAAGTGGGTGGAAAGCCAGGTCACTGCTTGTCTGATCTTGTAGAAATCAGACTAAAAAACAATTGCATTAATACCAACCTGTAATTTCATTATTATTAAATATAGTCATTTTTAGATGTAAACCCCCTTATTTTCACTTCTGGACCTTTAAGTGAAAACTTGGTTTTGCTTTAAGTCCCGTTTGGAAAGTGATGCAGTTGTTTAAGGTGTGTATATATGGTGAAGATCATTCTTTTTCTGTGAGATCTGGGCTTTTTTTCACTGTACAAAGTGCTTACTGTGCACCCCAGGTTCGCCTCCCAAAGCCTCCATCAAAACCAGCTCAGCAGAAGGGAAAAAAGCCACAAGGTGAAGAACCTGCCTATCAAAACAAAGTGTGTGTGGGGGTGGCAGGCACACAGCTCCTGGAAGAAGGAAAGCCAAGTACACGGAGCAGGAGGCGTCCCCAGGCAGAGCTGCAGCAGGTGAGGATTTGGGTGTGGCAGCAGCACCCAGCTCTCCCTGTTCATTAGCTCCATGTCCATCTCGTGGGGTGGGTGAGGAGGAACAGGGCTGGAAGAGAGCCAAGGGCTCTGTCACAAACTCTAGAAGTTGGCAGATGCTTGTTGGCTTCCAGTATCCCGAAGAGGAACCCGAGTCTCTGGTAGCCCAGGGCATAAGTGCCAGGAGGGCAGTGCCTGACCTGCCCCAAACCTGGCACCTCCAAGTGCTGGATCAGGACCTGGGCTAACTCTGACCTTACTGAATTCCTTTCAGCACACAGAGTTACTGTCTGTACCTCAGTGGGCTCCCTTGCCCAGGCCTTCCCTAAAATCAGTGCAGCAGAAGGAAGAAGTGGGGCACGAGGACCACTCCAGCTGCCTGAGCAGGCCCCACACCAGGGGAACACGCCGGCAGTTCCACATGGAAGAGAAGCCACTTAAATTGTACACTACCTGTCAGGAGCCTGGGCACCCAAAAAAGGTGAGGGGTTTGTGTTACCATACAACAGTCACAGTGCCTTGAGAAGGAAAGATCAGCTTTTCTAAAAACAAGAGTTCCAAAAACCCCTTGAAGGCTCAACTACATGTACACAAACTGTTTGCCATGAATGCTAAAGGTTTGTGTAATTGCCTGTATGCACTATTGGCCAGCTACCACTGCAGTTTGTGTAGCTGCAGAGCAAAGCCCTGCACGTGGATGCAAATTGTTATTCCCCAACTCTTCTATCCCCCTTTGTGGACCCTGCTGTTTGCTTGGTAGAAACTTCGTTCAGTAGTTTCCTTCTCTGTGTAGTGGAAAACTTCATAGCTCTCATTACTTAAGTCCTTAAATTGTGAGATTTACATCAGAGGATTTTAGCAGTTAACAAACTCACCTTGAATATTATTGTTAATTTAGTGCATAAAAGGGCTGAATGAATAGTTTCAGTCTTACTCTTCAACCATACAGGAAAAAAAAAAGAAAAAAATGAATCAGTTTTAGCACAAATGATACAGCACCACGTCCATCTCAGTGATCACTCTGTGCTCCTGTTCTCTGGAGCTCTGGTGATTTTAGTGAGTGGATTCCACCTGGTTTTCTTTCATATAAACAGATAATTTGGTTAAATGAGGACAGTTTCTAATGAGCACAAAAATGCAACTTTAAAGGTAGCTTTATGATTAATCCAAAATTCTTTGCTTCAAGCAGTCTGATCATCACTGCCTGGAGACTCCGGTACAAGCTGGGAGAGGGAAGCAGCAAAAGCACAGCTGTACCTGAGAGCACCAGGCAGGACAGTGGTGAGCAGAACCATTCTGGGAGATGTTTTGGCTGCTTGCAGGGGACATGGAGTCTGACAAGTCAAACACAACTTTGGAATAGGAAAACATTCCAGTGTTACTTCCTAGTCCTCAAATGTAAAGTTTTTTGCAGAAAAGAGACCAGTCACTGGGCTGGTGGTTAGATGATATTTGTGTTTGGATTTAGTTTTTCTAATGGAAAAGCTGCTATTCCAATAGGATTAAAGGTGCTGTTTCTATGTACAACCATTCTGTGGCACTCACTGAATATTCTGTGTAATAGGGGGGACTTCAAATGGGTGTCAGATAACATTTAAGCCATTCAAATGAGAAAGTGGAGACAGAAAAAAGGCAGGATTCTCTTAGCTTCATTTTGCAGAATTCCTCTCAAGTAATTCAGGAGCTTGGTAATGGAAAGCTCTGTAGGAAACCAAAGCTGTCCGTGGCACAGTTGAAAAGAGAGTCAAGTCTTGGCTAAGTGAGAAGTGGGATTGTGGTGTTTGGGAATCCCTTAAAGAGTTGGAGGCTGGCCAATTTTTTTTCCCCTGCAGGAAGACACTGCAAGAGAGCTGCCACCATTTGACCCCTACAGAATACTCTCAGAATTCCAAAAGAAACACAATCACCTTGTAACTCCAGCTCCTGCAGCAGCATCCCAGGCTGGTGCTGACACCACTCGTCCCTCTCTCTCTGCTGTGTTTAGGCTGGCATTTGCTGATCAAACCTACCCCTACACTGCAGCTGTTCTGGTGCTTCTGCTGCTCATTGCCCTGTCCTTGTATCTCCTTTGATGTTGTTGTTCCTGTGTCTTCAGTGGGAGTCCAGTGGTGCTCCCACCATGCAGCTTTTTCCTAGAGTTTCTTCATTGAAGATTTCAGTGTCAGCGGCTTGAAAAAGAAGTTTTTAAATAATCCTGTCAGTACATGCCTTGTACAGGCAAGTTCTCATCTGCATTCAATAGTTATGGATTCTCTGAACTATTTGTGTTGGCTTCTGTTATAAATGTTGGGATTCTTTTTGTTGCTTGTAACTGAACCTTTTGTTACGGCATTAAAAAGTATCATTAAATACAATGGAGTGTGGTCTTTAATTACTCTGGCATTAGTGTGGGACTGTCTTTATACTGTGTCAGAAAACCTTCAGTTAAACACTGACACATTTGCCTCTTCCACTCTAGTTCACTCCTACTCCTTGGATTTCCTTACCTTATTACAGTAGGGACATTCACCAAAGATGACATTGAAACTCTGTCTGCTGGTAGGAAGGCCTTGTAGCCACTGCAACACAAGAAGCGGGTTAAAAGTCACATTGGTTTCATCTCCAATTTAAGAAACATCTATTAATTACCAGAGTTCAGCTGATGAACATCTGACAGGGTGCATGCAAAGTCAGCCTGTGGTTCCCTTTCCAAGAGAGCTCACATAGGAATTGGGGGTGACAGGACAAGTGACTGCCACAATGTGCCTTATGGGCTCTTGCTTAATGCAGAATAAGTGGCCAGTGCTGGTTGTCCAGAACGTGCCAGCTCGTGGCAGATTGTGCCAGTGCTCACTGTACCTCATAGAGACAGGCCTGGTGGAAGGGCTGCCCACAGCGAGGATCGTCACACACGTGGTCGGGCGTGCTGCCGTCCAGCCGATAGGCGTAGCAGATCCCACAGTCCTTGGCAAAGTCCTGGAACACAACAGCACAGCTGAAAGGCAGGGCTGGGCTGCTCACACACAAACACCTTCACCTGTGGTTTTGCTTTTGCAGTTTTTGTTGGCTGGAATGACTACTTTTTGCATTTAAGACATACATGTTTATATCACAATGGCTAGGAGTGACACTGGGTTCTAGGTGTGCAAGACTTGACTGGGTTGTATTTCATCCCTTACTGAATTACATCTCATTCAACAAGCATTTTCATACTTTTGGGCACTTTTTGTTTATTAACCACTATCACTTCTCATTATGATTTAACATTAGACACAGATCAGTTCTTAATTTAGAAGCTTCCTGAGTGAAAGCAAAGCTCGTAATCCAATGTTAAAGCATTGTCAAAAATTAGTTCCCAGTTTGTTTGAAATGCGCCAGTATTTGGATGGCCTCTTGTCCCCTCTCCAGCTCCACCTAATTAGAACTGAAGTCATCAACATCCATAACAGAATGTTTGGATTTTCCTCATCTCATTAGCCACTCTGGAACGTCCTCTTTTCCTTTTAATAGTGGAGCCTGTTATGAATGCCCTCACTGCTATGAAGGCCACAGGGAAGTGTGCACCTCTAATCAAAGGTTAACAAGCTCTGACAACTGTTGCTTGAAGTTCAGAAGTCCTTGTGACAATGAATTAATCCAATTACCTCTCCAAAGTCCCTGATTGTCCTTGGCTCTTACACAGTGACCATTTAAATGTGACTTATTCAGCAATAACGACTGATCGTTAACCAAAACCAACTTACGCTTTTTTCCAACACAGCACGAGATGGAAAATCAATTCCCAGGAGCTCTCTCAAGTTCTGGAACAAACTGATTTCTGGATCCCTGTGGGTGGGAGAGGGGAGAAAAAAATCCACAAGAGGAACGGCAAACACTATTTGGGTTTCCAGCCTGCTTTACCGGGGACACTCACCACAAGTGCATGTTGTTGTTGAGTTTAGTTCTCAGAGGGTTCACTTCTGCAAACAACAGACAGGAACATTGGCATCACCCCAGTGAGCCTCCCAGGCTCCAGGGAGGGATTGGGATCAGAGATCTGAGTTCAGAGGAGAAACCAGTGGAATTTGCTGCCTTACCGTGATCTGCTCCAAGGAAATAACACTCCGGAAGCATGTTTGGATGGCGAGGATCTACCTCTATGTTCACTGAGACATTGTTCCCTGCAAGGAGAAAGCAAGGCCATGGGGAAGCTTTGCAAGGATTTGAAAAAGGAACCATTTTCAAAGGTAGTTTTAAATTGGTTAACTAAGGCTGGGTTTCATTAGGATAAATAATAACAAAGTTAGGAGGCATCGAAATGATTGTACAAAATGTCAGTGTATATCAAATATTTACATTTCCACAAACTGTAATTAAAAATAGCAACTGATTAATAAAACCTGTCAGGTTTGTGTTTCTTTTAGACTTGGCTTAACCTTTACACGTATTCAGAAAGAAACATAATCAACCCAAGCTAGATGACAACAGCCATCCAGAATCTTGGTGAAACTTTAAAGGTAGAGACATAAAACTTACCAATTCATCTCCATATTTTATAGTCAAAAAGAGAAGTCCAAACCCAATATTAAGCAGCAGAAGTCAGTCCCCTCCCCAGCAAATTCCAGGACTGAGACAACAACGCTGTATTTTTGAAACAGCAAATATTTGGCTTTACAATACCCCCCACCATCCCTGGAAGGGCTCTGTTCCTCAGAGGGAAGCAGCTCAGTGGTGCTCTGGATCCCGCTCCAAAACATCACAGCAGAGCCTCTTCTGAACAAACTCAGGTAAAACCCAACCTGTTCTGTAATTAAAGCTGTGTTAAGCTTTCCATCCTGGAAGAGGTGGGAATGAATGAAATCAAAGTTCAGAGGCAGCTGAAGGTTCTCTGTGCCTGACAACAAAGGGCTCAAAGCCCCATCCCTCCTCTGCTCAGCTGCTCCAAGGCACTTTTTGAGGCTTTTCTTCCCTTTTCTTGGGCTGTGACAAAGGGCAGCAGGACCAGGACAAAGCCCCCTGACTGCACACAAAGTGGTGTCTGACCCACATCATTCCAAGCACTTGCTGAACTTTTCCTGTCCTTCCCTCCACTCCCATGACGCAGCTTCCCTCCTGCTCCTTCCTCCCTCCCTCTACAGCTGTCAGGGACAACGTGGGTCCTCTGTATTCTCACATTTCTACAATTTGCTATTGGTGATGTGGATTTTATATAATTATAAAATTCCTCATCCTATGTATATTAAGACCTTAAAATGCCAGATATCAGCATAAACTGAGGTACATTTTCAGGTGTTGACAGGGAAACCTCGTTTCTTCTCTTTTATTTCTGTCCTTTCCCCTTGCCTCCTTTAATCCCTTTTTCCCCTTGGGTTGCACTCTAATATTCCTTCCACTCCAGGATAGGATGAATCCAAAGTTTAAAACTCTGGAATTTGTGATTGAGGTAAGGGCTTCATCTAAGCTGCTTTTTTATAAATACTGATTTTTCTAGGGTTACCATGTAAGTGTACAGCTGTTGACAGTTCCATGTTCATAATTCACAAATACACAAGGTTTTCCTGCAAAAATTTTAATTTATCTGACACCAGAAAGTTGTAATCAATTTCCCAAACAGGATCAGCATTCTGTTATGGAAAGTTATCTTTTTAATATGCAAAAGAGGAGTTCTGTCTTTGGTTTTAAGTGCCGCTCTTCATTTCCCAAACCCAAAGAAGCACCATCTGATGAGACAAGCAAAACAAAACAGCTGCCTGAGTTTTACTTCTCAAATCCACTGTATCCCTTTAAATCTTTTCCTACCTATTGCAATTCTTCTGGTTGTAGCACTCCGTGTGGGATTTTCTGGCTCAAGCACCCATGTCTTCCCATCGATTTCATCAAGGGCATCCCAGAATTCCTTCAGCGACTCCAATGCTGCCAGGAACTGATTGTAAATGTCTATTAAGGAGTTCTAAGAAACAAGAAATTCAAACAGATTTCATTGAGTTTCCACCAGCAGCCTGAAAGTATATTTAAAAACCAATTTATTCATTTAAGGAGAGTTGAAATCCATGTGTGTGTCCCAGTGTATCGTGATAACATAAAACATGGAATATCACCTAACAACCTCATCATTGTCTCAGAATTGAGCAGTATGAAAACAGGTGCTTAAGATCAGCTTTCAAACCCTGTAAATAAGGCATGAAAAGGAGAAACCATCTAATAAGCAGAGGATTACAGGTGGGGGATTTCAATATTTGAGAGTGGATTACACGGAATCAGAAATATCTTTCATTAGACAGGACAATATACAGGCCAGCAATGCAAAAGAAATCTTTTGAAATTATCAGTGGGCAAAAAGAAGTCACCATTTCCGCAGGAAAAGACTTCTGCAAGAGGAGAAAACACTTGGTGGTCAAGGGAACCCTTTGCAGGTGCAGATGCCCGTTGAGGGACAGATTTCAGATATCTTGAGGTTCAAAAGAAAAAGCAAATTAAACATTCTGTTCTCAGACAGGTATTTTTCTATGAATTAAACAAAATACAGAAGGAATGGTTTCCTTTAATCTATAGTGATTATATTCTCCCTTTCTCACCTGGACAAAGAGCAGCAAGTTATCTGAGTGTTCTCAGATGAAGAAATAGAATTTTTCTACATAATAACTTTTTATATTTTGTGCATGTGTATTTTAGAAAGAAACGGCGTAGCTTAGAAATAAAATGCTACATTTTTTCCTGCTGTTGTTAAATTATATTAAAGTAGGAAAGCACCTAAGCAGAGAAGTGTGAATTCTGCCAATCTCAAAATGTAACGCTTATTATCTTTAAAAGCATTTTGTTACTTTTATAATACCTGAAGTGATATAATAGTGTCAGTCACTTAACCACATCTTAGAGTATAGTATCTTCATCTTAAGTACTATTATTTCCAGTATTTTAATAATTTTCACACAGTCCTGAAATGTGATCTTTTGTGCTCTGATGACACTTAAATTAATAGCATAATTTTCTGGTACTTGCAACAGTTGTTTCCATTTTGATTTTTTACATTTTTCTATATCACATACAGATAAATCCTCTAATAATCATTTTTATCTTTATCTTCCGGGAATTCAAAGGGTTTCACTAGAAAAAAGAAACATCAAGGGATTATAACCCACAGATAAGTTTTAAAATCCAATTAATTTTAATACTAATTGTAATTTTTCAATGATGTTCCTTAAAAAGGTAGTTAAATCTTTTTTTTTTTTCCTACACTGTTCATTTGATCTTATTTGCATGCTTCACTGAAGTTACCAGCTGTCTCCTGTTCTATACGTAAATGCATCTATAGCTATTTAAATACATCACCTGCTTGTCATGCAAACCATGAAAACTCCAAGATTCCTTTTTATTTGATTAACCAACTAATTTTTGGTCGCTGCCCAGCACTTTTAGAGCAGGCTGAGATCACACTTTTCTTTGGTCTAAATTACACCAAGACCATTGTTAATAATGTCAAACAGCACAACTCTGTTTCATGGTCCCCCTTGTACAAATGAATTAGAATTTGTGTGAAATATGTCAAAATTCCTTGGAAAACAAGACATTCCTCATTCAGACTGTCAGTGCCGCTCACCCTCGCTGTAAGAGCACTCACAAAGCCAAACTGGTTCCTCCATCCTCCATAAACACACTGGCTTTGATGGGTCCCAGGAAATGTGACCCCAATGTCACCTCTGTTATCTGATCCATGGATCCCACATCCATTGACACCACTGACTTTGTCCAGGGAAAATCAGATACTCTGGACCTCTCCCTGTCTCCAAGGGGAACATGCCTTGTCTTTTACCAGGAAAGTATCATGTGATTTCTCAACCTTTTTATTTCCATTTCTATCCTCTGCACTCTCATCTCCCCTCATCACCAGGACCTCCTCATGCCAATTCCTTTCTTCCTTAATTCAAACACTCTCCCAAGCCCACCCTTATTGCCCATACACCATTCCCTCCAATCAAAGGAATAAGAAAGAATGGGGGGAAAAAAATCTCCCTCTACTCTTGGTTCTTATTTCTAGAGCCACAGAGGCTGGGGAGAATAAAGACAAAATATCAAGTCTGAGCCTGCCAAAAAGCCAATGAAGCCTTTCAGGAACTTCTAAGAAGTGCTGCAATCTATATGGCTGTTCTGCCAAATTTCAAGCATCTGCTCCAAATCCTGGATGAACTAAATAGTAATCACATGGTAGTAAAAAAAGTTCCAATTAAGGTAAATACAGAACAATTAATAGCAAATTATTTTTCAAAACCAGATAAAAATGCAATCTTTATTCTGAGATTTTTTGGGTAAAATTCTTCCTAACACAAAATTTGCTTATCCAAAATTAAAACAACTGCAAAGCCCCCTAATAAGAAAGGTGAATTAGCCTAAAATATAGGTACCATTACCTCCTTGCCCTTCATAAATTTTTATTCATAAATAAAATACAATTTAATAAAGCAAACAGTCATTAAATGGAAAAGGGGTCACCTAAAGAATTTAAGATTCCTTAGATTTGTTTGGAAACAGTTTCTCATCAACAGCAGTTTAATAATTTCCCCTCTCCTTAACAGAAATCAAGCCAAGACACAAGCCTGAAATCTTTATAAAGTGTCTTGTCAACCATCTCCATTTTCTGCATTTACAGCTGGTGCCTGTGAAGTTCCTTTGCCAAGAAAAAGCACAATTACGATGCTTTTTAGTGTGTTTTCCTCTAAATAACCCAGGAATAATCTCATTCCCACCACTCCACCTTCTGCACCTTGCATTCCTGTTTCCTTGCTGGCTGCTGCACGACCTCATTAGTCATTAATTTCCACTCCTGTGACCTTCATGTAGCCAGCCAGGTGGGCAGTGGTCAGTCAGGAAACCTCACCCTGACGTGAGACACCCTGATTCTGCAGAGCTGCACTTCCAGCATGTGCTAAAACTGGAGACAGCACATTTATCTGGTTCTTTAGAAAAAGGCTATAACAGAAATAAGTAGATGTTCTTGCACTTGTCATTGAGAAGCACTCTGCATTTATTTGGCACTTAGAGCAGGAGCAGCAGCAGCAGCATTGCCCTTGGTGCTGATTTCTTACTACTCTAAAACGTCTCCTCTGAGCCAGAATCCACTGGCTGTTGCTGCTCATGCTGTGAGACACCTGCACTGGCTACTGGGCTTGTCATGACGCACAAAACCCCACCATCTTCAGCTTGACATTGTGCAAGTTATAATTATTCATCCAAATGAATATGTCAGAGCAGCAGCAGCAGACCTCTCATCAGAGCAAAAGAAAAATACATCAAAACATTATCAACCCAGCAGGAAGACAGGGACCATAAGGAAAATTACCCATTTTTAATATGGATGCCATAAAGCCATGTCTATTATTATACGGAAGGAAAAAAAAAAAAGAGAAGAAAAAAAACCCAACAACCCCTCAAGTTTAAAATCCATGAGCCTGAAATAGGCAGCAGCACACACAGGGGGTGGGAAAGAAAAATCAATTACCTGCAATCTATTTATGTTTTCTTTCACAGGAGTTTATATTCTAACGGTGCCATTGCACCAATTTAGGTAAGCCTTGTCAATTTATACTTTAAAGGCATAATATTAAAAGTTTAAGACCAATTGGTACCAAAACACCACGTTATTTCACTAGAGAAGAGGTGTAGCCTGTTCTTTTTCCCTTTTAGGAACCAAAATTTTCATGCACTTGAGTACCTGCTGAATTCTGCTGCCAGTGGTGTTGCAGCATTATCTAAGCTTAACCCATATTTTATCACGGTGTGAGGGCTGCTCGCCACAGTGATTCCCACACATTTGGAAAATAAACACAATTTACACAATTACCAAAGCCATTTGTCCCCACAAGTGTTGGGTTCATGTCACTCCCACACAAAAGGTCAATTTGCAAAAGCTGCTGTGCAGCTTAAAGCATTTCTCTCTGCTGTTATTTGGTTCAGCATTAGAGCAGGCTCTCTGCAGCTGGAATTAGTGTCTCATGATTTCAGAACAGGCTCTTCACTTACACACAACACCTTTTGCTCATGTTTTCAAATAGTCCCCAGGTAATTCTAACTGGAAAAAGATTTTAAGCATCAGAGTGTTGTATTTTTAACAGAGGACTTTTCCTTGGCTGGAGTGCCAGTGCATATCAGTATATCCACCCCCATTTTTCACTTGTCAAAGGCTGCTCCATGTCAGGTTTTTCCAGAACATTTTATTAAAACACGAGTCCATCTTTAAAATTACTAATAGTAAACACAGAGAGGCAGTCACTGTCAGGCATGTTTGAAATGTTGTTCATTTGAGGCAACATAAATTGCAAGGCTGTAAAATTAATAAAACACTGTTGAAAATATGTATTAAGTTTGAGGTTAAAAACAGCACTTGAAATCCTGGCCGGAGTGTAGAGACTCCAGTAAAATTCAAGGGAACAACATTTATTTAAACTGTTCCAAACCATATCAGAGAATCAAAATCTAAAATTACATAAATAAATACATTTTCCATTTGCAGTGGTTGATTCTTGCAGTTATTTCCTCTCAATATTAGTGAGTCTGAGGTGACAAACAGAACCTTGAGCTCTGCAGAAAAATTATATGCCCAGCTTAAACTCATCCTGCTGCAACCTCCCAGCCATGCTCCCTATGTAAGTTGTTATTTATTGCTAGGTAGAAACCCTTGTGAGAATTAAAATTATCAGGTGAAATTATTTATGAAAAAACTGTTTTCCCAATTTAAATGAAATATCAATTATTTTCTACATATAATTAAAATTAACTTGCATCTGAGTGGACACATTTAAATTCATTTAATAAAGCACACATGCACTATTAGGAAGAAAGGTACATGAAATAATGTGAAAGACCCACAAAAGACACTGTGGTTTTTCATAGCAGCAATATCAGTTAAACTAAGAAATTACAATTTCATTAAATACTTTCCTATATTGATTATAACTGGAAAAGTTATAAAACTCTATAAGATAACAAACTGGAGAAAACTCTATAGGATAATCGACTCTTTTTCTCAATGTCTGTCAACTTCAGAGGGTGTTTCTTTTCTAGAAGGCAAATTTTTCTACATTTCACTTCCTTTTCACTTTCCCACCATAATTCCTAGACAATTTTCTGTCATATGAACACCTAAAAAAACCCCAACCAGTACATACAACATGCAAGATATATCTCATGGCAAGGAAGATATTTAAGGTACTGTGATAAGGAATATGGAATTCAGTGCTATTACATTTTCATGAGGATGTACAGAAATAAAATGCACACAGGGAGAAAAGCTGGAATTAAAAACCAAAGCCAACCCCTTGTTACCACCCCTCCATTGCATATGTATTTTTATTTTAAAAAGCTGCCTAGTCCAGCAGTTACCTGTGGCATCCAGGAAACAGCAAATGGAACAGGAAAATCCACAAGGCAATCTGGTGGTTCTGTGGGATACTGAGGGAGGGAAAGAAAATACAGTTTAGGTTTTTTTTCCTTAGTGATTTAAAGTCAGACTGATACTCAGCTGCCAAATTTGATAACAAAATATGAGCACTTCAAGCATCTTGAGAATTTGGCTCTGAGAGGAAGCAGTATGTAAAGCATTTTCAGGAATAGTTATGAATGTTAATTATCATTTAAAGAAGAAAGCTACATGTAAATGTTTTATATGTCAGTATTTAGAAAATCACAATTTTCTGTGTTCAGTGGTCACAAAGCAACATTAAAGAAACCTTAAGAAACAAAGCATGAAATATTTTTTTAAATTTCCCCTCAATTATACATACCAGAAAGCAAAGTTTAAAAATCAAACAACCCTTCCATGAGTCAAGAACTAATTTTTGTTTAAGCTGAACTATTTGTTCTGAATGGCAACATTTTGTTTTTTGAAACTGAAAGTAATGTAGAGTACTTAACTATTTAAAAGGAGATGAGTGAACACAGACACAAAATTAAAAAAAAACCTCAATCCAAATTAAGGGATAACAATAAGAAAAATTTGTAAAAGGCTACATAAAAAAAACCAAAAAACCAAACTATAAAAGGTTTGATAACTCCATGACATCCTAGCTTATTACAGATATAATCAAATGTGTGTGTCAGAAATCATTCTATTTTTCTTAGGCCAATTTAAGCAATTATTAAATACAATATTTATGTTGGTTTTCTGAGTATGCAGCTAACTTTATCTAGAGAAAGCATTTTCATAGCCCTTGCCAGATCATTCAGATAATTACCAAAGTGTCTTAATTACTACACATCAGGCAAATCCTTTCAGTGACCTATTTGAAGCCTTGAGGTCTGAAATGCTCCTGCACTGATCTTAATCAAAGAAACAGCATAACAGAAATAAACATACTTTTATTAAAGCATGTTATCAAAAGAAATGCCTTCCCAAAAAACACTTCAGCCAAGTCTTCTCAAATGTAGTGTCTGTGTGTATGAAGGCAAATCAAATCCCCAGGTCACCAAAACAGTATTTCACACACAAATTTTGTCTAGCAAGTTTAAATGCCAGATATGGTTTAAAAAGGACAAGCAATTGATCCTTCATCATCAAAAACACTTGAAAGCAACATGAAAAAAAAAAAGAAAAGAGGATGATTACTTATTAAAACAGACAAGTCTGATAATCTAATCTTTTTGCTATACACATCTTTAGTTGTTAGATGGTGCTTTTTCTGCTATGAGGAGTATTCAGCTATTTTATTACTATAAAAAAACCCCACGAGTTTGTACAAGGACAGAAAATGGGAATCTCCATTCCCACAGGACAGTGCTAAGTTAAGGCTGAACAGAACCAGCCAATGCACCAGTGCCAGTTTGACCAAGGCAGCTGCTTGGGAAAAAAAAAAGAATATTGCACTGTATTTTTTTCTGCATTTTTATATTTTCAAACAGTTCAAATACTTCTGTTGTCCCAAGAGCAAGAAAGCATTAGGGCAACAGGTTGCACCAAATTTCTAGTGCCACACAAAGCATATTTATCCCTTATAAACAACACAACCTGGTTCCTGTCCTTGCACAATAAATAGGCCATAATTGTACTTCCAGATGAATTTTTTTCCATCAGTGTATTTAATAATGGACTGACTAGCAAATTAATTAGGCACTCATTACTCTCTGTGTGTAGGACAGTTTTACTCCTTCTAAAAATTCACTGGAGCAACACTCATTCCCAAACAGTATTTTTCCCCTCCTTTTCCCTTTCAAAGGTAAAACTTGTTCATGCCATGTAAGACTAAAAAACTTTTTAAAAACCCTCCTGGTTTGTAAAGGAATACAGGATGCCTGTGAAGGTGGGATTTCATCCTACAATACCATGTCCCTTCCGCATGCTTTCAAGATTATAACTTGAGATGATGGACCACAGATAGTCCCAAACAACATCATCCTGAGACTTTTAGATCCCTTTCTCCCCTGGACTGATTTTCTGAAGACAACAGTTATTGCCAGGCAATTGCCACCACACAGCCTGGATATTCACAGTCTCTGGTGAGAGATTTATGCCTTGAAATGAGACATTCTATGAAGAAACGTTGTAATTTGAGTTCAGTGATAAGTACCAGGAAGAATTAAATTTTTTCTGTTTCTGCAAATGCCATGGGTTTGATTTGCAAGTACTGTCAAAATGAGACATTTATTTAGACTAAAAAGAAATAATTTTTCTGACTTCAGTTTTTCATAAATCTTTACATCTCTGACTTTAACAGCAAGACTTGTTAATAACCAACCCAACATCCTCTAATTCTTGTTCTGTGCACAGTCTCTGGATGGAGTGATAATGAAGGAAAGTCTCCCAGATGGCTTTGTCTGTAATCCAGTAAAATGAGTACAATATCAGAGTGTTTTTCATGTGATGCACAGATGCATCTTACAGATAACCATAATCCAATATTAATTTTAAATGTAGTTAGTCTGAAAACTCAAGGGAAAAAAAAAATTAACTGACCTATTACCTTGCAGAACAGACACACCGGCAAACAAACCAACCCTCTAAAATCCTAATGAATTAAGAAAAATCGATATATTTCAAGGAAGCCTCAAGATATTTTGTCCCACATCAATTTACCTTTGCATTCAACTTGAGAGTGATGAGATGCTGTCGACCACAAGAGTCTTCAGCTTTTAACTTGACTGTGGTCAGCCCAGTGTCCACATAGGCCACTCTGGAAGAGAGAAGAAAACTCTCAGAGCCCTGCGGTTTGAAAGGCCTGCAATACTCTGATTAGTCTGTTACAAATATTAATCAGAAGGAGTCCTATATGCCAAGCATTTCTGCTGCTGCAGATTTACTGCTGTTAATACACCAGCCTAGTGCTTAATGCAGTCATATATCTCTGGGTTATTTACAACGTGTGTCAGGGCTCACGCTGTGGTCAGTGAGCACCGTGTTGCAGTTTTCCATCACAGGAACCTTTGACACACACAGCATGTTCCTGTCAGCCTCTACTTATGTACACATTAAACTTCCTGTCAAATCTTTGATCCATTTCTGCAGTTTCTTACTCTATGAGACTTTTATGCTCTTGATTTGCTTTTCTCTTCAATGAAGTTCTCTTTTATTATCAATGCTATTATTGTGGGAAATTCAGTGCATATTGGTTCATATTCCAAAATTGATTTTCTGGAGAAAATAGTAGCTGAACAGGTACAAGATGAGTTATTTATGATGATTTGCCTTCATTTCATGACAGTTTTACCCTGTATTCATGCACCCTAGCAAGCAGAAAGTACATACTAAATGTGAAAAAGTTTTAAAAGTTCTGACTCTTTGCTTAAGATGTCACTGGTTTGTGTCTCCCACCACAATGAAGATGGACACAATTGTAAAATATATTGTTCTCTACAGGTAGATTCTGCTTAGTAGTGTCAACAATTGCCAAAAAGGTTCAAGCATCCCCATATATTTACCAGTAAACTGGGCATGTGGATATTTTGGCATTTTTACTATGTCATTCCTGTGTAAAGATAAAAAGCAGTCCAAGATAATTGCACAACTTATCACCCAGACTGATGGAAAGGCCTAACAGAGTTCAGAGAGAGCATCTGCTTACTGGCCTAAGCAACATTTATTTTTTTTTAAACCACTACATACTAGAAGAAGTCACATGGTTCTCTCAAGTGAAGCTGGCAACAGAGTTGTAGAGGCTTGTGGAAGAAAAAGTAGATGTATACTAAAGGGTTGCACATCCCTAGGAAGGAAGTGAAAAGAAGAAAATTGTCTACATAAATGAAATAGCCTCAATAGGAGGGAACTGAAAAATACTCATGGAGAAAGCAGCAGTAGTAGTAAAAAGGGAGAGAGAGATTATTTCATGTTTAATGCTGATTAATGCAATATTAAGGAGACCTGCAGATTTCTGGGAGTATTTCTCCACAACAGCTGAGAGAAACTCAAGTCTTGATAAAAGTGTAATTCAACTGGAGCCAGTTAAACTTTATATACTTCAAAGAATTAGAGGATTCTTCCTCTAACTGGGGAAAAAGAAGTCATTACTCCTGCTTTGTTCCAACTTTACCTCAAAAGTGTATCAGAGTTCTACAAAGATGAGAAACTACCTCTATAGCACCCCTCCATCTGCTGCTTCCTGGGCTGGGGAATTCCTAAAGCAGCAGCTAAGGCCCAGCATGGATACTGCAGTGAAAAATGCAGCAGGGTCCACACCAAAGCACAGCTGGTGCCTGCAGCATGTGCTGCAAAGAGCCACAGCAAAGGAAAACAAAAAATTAAAGGTATGTTACCAAGGTGTCTGGGATTTTACGTGTTCTGACAATCATCTTGTTTGGAACCACTTCAATCTTGATTTATAAGAAAAGTATGGATTCTTTTAGTTAAAAGTCACACTTTTTACATAAACACAAAGAATTGTGTACAAAGGTGATACTTCACTTCTACAGACTTTTATTCCTCTGTAGGCTCTGTCATTTTATCACAGAAAAAAAGAAAAAAAAAGAAAAAAAAGGAATAAAAGGAATCAGCATAAAGATGGAAAGCTTCAGGTAAATCTCTGAAGTCCAGCATGACATCCAAATGACTGAGAGCACAGGACCAGGCAGGATTCCCTGGAAATGGAGAAGGCAGAGGAGAAAATACTTTGTATTAAATAAATGGGAAAGTATCAAGCCTAAGAGCTTTGAGATTTGAGACAACATGGACTTAAGAGATACTGGCAACCCTTTTGAATCCCCATGAGGGTTATAAGAGTCCTACAGGTGTTCTATAGTTGATAATTTGCCTTCCCAGGACACTGTCACTGACACAACCAGCTTGATTAAGGGAAAGTATTAGAAGAGCCTTTCCTATAACTTTACTTCTGCAGTAGTATCTCTCTTTCCCCCACTCAAATCTTTCAAATTTTCAGCTGGATTTGGGTGCAGACAGATTCCAGCATGACCCAAAGCTTGCTAGGAATGAGTAAATCTGGGGTACACAACAAGCAAGGGTTTTTTCCTAAGAAAAATCCTTAAAGCTCAAGGTGTGAGCAGTGATTGCACCTCATCAAACACAGGCAGTTCTGCTGAAAGACCTTTCCAGGATGTTCTTAACTGCCATGCAAATAAAGCATCACCTACAACTCAAAATCAGCCTCAGTTAAAAGGCTTTCTTGGAGAGTCACTTCAGTGTTAAAAGCACTCTGAAATCAAAGGTGTGACTTGCTAATGGACTACACATTGCCTGTCCAGGTTATTCTCCTTCCAAGTCAGAATAAACCTGATGTGATTCCCTATGTGCAGCATAGTCCTTTGATCAATGAACAACTTCCCCAACCCTTCTTCAAGATTTTGGGTGTTGTTTTTAGTGTTGTTTTGGTTTTTTTGGTTGGTGTTTTGGTTTTTTATCCATTTTGGCAGAACAAGCATAATTGAAAATTTACTTCCCACGTGATTAAGAAATTTTACCTAATATTCTCAGGCTTGAGTGAGAAATTTGAGTATGGCACAATTACATATTAACAATGGCAACCACTGACAAAAACTTCAGCTGATTTCTCAAGGGTGTTTCAAATCTTTAAATAAAAGTGGGTCTTGAAATTGCCATTTAGTGTTAATCACATGTTGTTTATCTATATAGAAATCAGGTGGGAAAACTCAAAACTCTTCTTACACCTAAATCTTCTTTATTCCGTTTAGCACAAGGTACACCTGTTAAAGTTTTGGGTTGAGAGTCTTTCACATTCTCCCCTCCACTTATGAATTTTTTTTGGTAGATTTACCTTTCTGTGGAACAAATAATAAATTCCTCTAAGAAGATCCTTGTGCTAAAAGAGCAGGTTCTTTAAAAATTACTACGCTAATTCTAAAAAAAGTATGAAATGTTTTTATGAAAGCATAAAGGTAAATGATGATCAACCATAATCTATAGGGTTAGTCACAACCAGCTATAAAGAATAGGGAAAAAGAAAACTATAAAGATGAACATTAAATATGTTTAATATACCAGTAGTTTATAGGTCAAAGAAGAAATGATTTCTTAGTAGTGTATCACCTTTCAGCTCAGTTTGAGACAGAAAATATCCCTGCAGTTGATACAGGTTTGTTGGGTGTTTTTAATTTAAAAACAAAGCAAAATCAGTTTCTGAATAGGGTAAATGAACAGAACAAGTACATTTGATATGTTCAGCTCACAAATACAAAAGAAGAACAGATATTCTAAAGATGATGTTTGTTAAGAGCTAAAATAATCATACCTATTCCAGCCCAGTATTTCTAGATCTCTGACAAGACAGGAGTAGTATTCTGGAGGCCGTGGGATGTGCAGGTCTTGTGTGTTCTTTAAAGCAATTTCCTGTTTAAAAGAACATTAAAAACATCATTAAGAGCAATTTCAATATTTTTGCATCTATTTAGCCATGTGATTTTTGCAATTCATTTGGAAATATTAAGCTTATGTAAAATTAACTGTACACTGCATTTGTTTTGTTATAGCCTCCAGCTAAAGCAGACAAAGAAGCTGTTTGGTAAATTACTTCAGATACTGGTAATGAAAACATCTGCAATTTAAAAAAAATACCACAGATGTTGACAACGGAGTCTTCAGATGCAAATATCAAATGTGCTTCTTTTTCAGCTAATAAATTTGAAGTCAAGCATCTTGACTGAAAGAACATTTCAAAGGAAGGTTCTATTAAGCCCACAGCTGTCTCCTGGGCTCCACTGCCACAAAAGACAACACATCTATGATATTTCTTGTATTTTACATACATATATATATACACATATAAACTTTACATAGGAATCAAAAAACAAAATCAGTTTCTCAGTTTTAACATCACAGGATCTCTTGGAGTAAGTTTCAGTACAGACACTCATCAAGAATGTAGTAAGGTTTCAAAAAGAACTTTTCATAAAAAAGTTAATGTTACTGTGAAAAATAAGCCCTAACCATGTGTTTCAGTTGTGTTGTGCTACTTGTCCTTTGAAAATGCATTTGAGTTAAAATTATGCTTACAAAACACATACATTGATGACATTTAGAATAAAAATATTAATAATTTAAAATAAAATATATTTAAATGAAAATATAATTTATAAGACAAATTTAACAATCATTCCTGCCCAGGTATCCTACACCATTGTCAGTGTTTTCATTCTCTGCAGTAACTGAGAATCACTATTTTGCTATTTTGAATGAATTACACTTTCAGTGCATTCTCATTTCCTGAGTGCTTGTGTACATAGGCAAATAGATTGGAATATCTATTGTAAAGCCTTCCAAAACAGACATTCTTATTCAGGCCTATTCCAAGCATAGCAGAGCAGCAGTGTAATGCCAGGAGGAATTTCTGCTGTGGTTTTGAAGAATACTTCCTGTGTTTTATTCCTAAAGTAAAGCAGGTTGGATGAAGTATTCATCAGCAAGAATGTTCATAGAATAATGTTTTACTAATAGATGTTTATTAAAGGGTTTGCTACTCTTCAACCCCAGACCTGAAAAACTTTTAAAAGAAGAATAAACAGCAGCCTCTGAAATATTAGAGGGGGGGAAAAAGCCTTCTGCATTTATTTGTCAAATTGTTAATCAGGTGAAAGCACCTTCAGCAATCCACTGACTGTATAGCCCATTGTATAATTAGAAGCCTGCTTTACCATCCAGACAATAACAGGAATTCCAAGAAAATCACTGTAAAGAGGATGGCTCTACACTGAGATCCCTTGCTGGGATTTTAAATTTTCTATAGCACTCTAACTTCCAAAGAATACAGTCACTTAAAATCCTAAAGGATATTTATATTACATGAACAGCATATATACAAAATCACCTCTTCCAAAAATAAAAAAAAAGAGCTATGTATCTATGGGACAGTAATCTGTAAAACACTGAAAGTGAAACCCAAAGCTCTAAGAGCACCCCATGTCCCACACACATTTTCTGCCACTCACCAAAACAGTTTTCAGCTCCACCATAAAGCTGACAAGATCTGGGCAGCTGTGCAGCCTCTGGAGGAAAGAGAGGATTAGTTAATTTTCTGCAACTTCTGGTGGTTCAGCCCAACTGTTTTGCTGGTATTGTCAAACCAAACATAAAAAATGACCAAGTGTATACCGCATGTTTAAATTCTCCAATTACAGAAGAGAAGTTCCAGGAAACTTTACTGAGAATGAAACACCCCCTGGCATCACTCATTTATGTATTTATTGAAACCACGTCCATGAGATACAGTGTCTCAAGCAGCACCTGTGGCAAAGGCTCCTTCTTGGAAACAAAGTATTCTTTAGGACTCAGAGGCTGCTGTATCCTCACTCCAAAGCTTCCTTTGGGTACTGAGAAGTAATTTAGATCCCAAGAATGAACTGAGTATAATATTAATAATTAATGTGAATTCTCTCCTTTGCATTATGAACAATTTGTAAAAAAGTAAATACATTTTGAAAAAAGACAAAATCTGTTCTAACTGAGAGAGTAAAGAAAATTCCAGAAATATGTCATCAGTCATTTCTTAAAAATTGTTCTAGCCTGATCTCACAAAAAAAAAAAAAAAGAATAAAAGTTGAATAAAAATAAATATTTACTAAATTCCATCCATTTCTCATTGCATTTACTTGTAAATCTTCAGGCATTTAAAAACAAATCTTGGCTCTACAATGAAAGGAAGGTTCTTTAACCCTTTTATAACAGGCGTATGAGCACAAGATGTCACAGAATCATTATAAACAAAGATTTAAGATGTTTAATGATTATATTTAAATAAGTGGTTTTAAACTTGTATACCTGCTTTAAAATGTGCCGATAGCCATGCAGGATCTTCTTCAGACGCCAGCTGCACTCTATCCTACACAAACAGAGTTTTGTACACATTTCAAACTCACAGTACATGATTTTTCAGAGAGCAGAAAGCCTTCTACACACAACAGCTTTTCTTGGAAGAAAACAAAGGAAGGAAACAATATTTCAAAACTGCTTTGAGTTTTGTGCTCCCAGTTACTTAAAACTTCCAAATGTCACTATGCCAAAGCCCATTAAAAATTAAGCATCAACCTGCAAAAGCCTGCTCTGTGCCGAAAACAACAACATCATTCTTGTGAGTGTAACTTCATAAAATACACTAATATTTAAAAGGGATAACCTGAAAATGTCAAAGTTACCTGTAATGCAGTTTTAATTACCCAGCCCAGGATGTAATAAAGCTATGGAATGCCACATCTGCTCCCAGTTTGGAGCGGGCTGGCCTAGGCAGAACTGTGGAATACGAAGTTAAAGGCTCATCCATGTATTTGTGGATTAGCCTCTTTCACCCCACTTCCCACAGACTGCTGGGATAAACGCAGAAATAAGAACAGAGCTTTTAAAGAAAATTGGGTCATACCAATTAATACATAGAAACAGCAAACAGAAAATGAAGTTAAAAAACTCTGTTAACCATCATTGCTTAAATTACTTACATAATTGCTTAAATTTACAACTTTGCACTGAATTTGCTGTTTCCCAAATGGTGACATATAAATGATCTATAAATACAAATTATATAAAAAATATAATTTTTCCCAAGTACATTGCTTCATATATGTAAATACAACCAATTAATTACAACATGTTTCAAAGTTAATTAACAACAAAATATTTTGATATAGGCAATGCTTATTGTCAGCATTTATTAACACTGATGCTGTGCAATTTTGTTGCAAGGTTAAGCTGAAACCAGTGAGAATTAATTAATAACAGTGATATTGGAAAAAAAGAATAATTCATTTTAATATCCATTATTGCTTTTATCAAAATTAACTTTGTTACATCACACTTAGAAATTGCTACCATAAAAATCTCTTACCTGGCATTTTTCAATTGCAAATCCACTGGTAGCAGTATCCTGATGTGGAAGTTTCTACCCTTGAAAAGAAATATTTAGTTAATAGGAAGGTCAGAAAAGAAAAATATTAGACATTTGTGGAATGATTCCCCATCAGATCAGCTACTAAGAAAGAAACTTTGTCTTTTCTCTCTTTCAGGAATATTATTCAGAATCTCTTTCCTTAGGGATAAAAAGCAGTATGAGTGACAGGAACAAATAATATTGATTTTAATTCTAAAGCTGAAGTACTCTTAACCTTTAATTCACAATATTCAGTAAAAACTCTTCAGTACATCACATTTCATAAAGCAAACATAACACCTTTCAGGAGAAAAATAAACCTTATCCAAATCTGGACAAGACAAAAACATATAATTTAATCCAAATCATGCTACTGTACATGAAAGTTTGTCTTCAACTCCTGTAAAAGACAAAACAGATGCTTATCATAAAAGTAACTACACTAAAAAGAACCTTGGGCACTGATCCACAGCACATTCCAGCAGAGTTTTACAAACTGTAAACAAAAGCAACCCCAAGTATATAATTTTTTTTTTCCTGTTAGTACAATCCACATGGGGCAGCTTCTAAATCCTTCGACTTGTATTTTCAGTCCTTATTGATGTTCTCCTACTACTTTCTTATGGGATGATCAAAATAAAGCTGAAATAAAGAAAGTTGGTGAAGCCTCGAAGCAAAGGGGGCAGATAACTGATCTTAAAACTTTTATTCCAGACCCTACCCCAGCTGAGGGCACCTTGAAGTTGGGAGTACTGGGTCATGGACATACTGGAGTTAATCCAGGAAGGAGTTCTGAAGGTGACCAAGAGCTCAAGCCAAGAGAGCCTGAGGGAGCTTGGACTATTTAGCCTGGAGAAAAGAGGGATCATGGAAGACTAAAGGTACAGCCATATCTGAGTGACACACAGTGACAGGAATACAGGAAACATCACCTAAATTGAATGAAAAAAACCTTTAAATAGTTAAGGGGGGATCAGAAACTGGAACAAGCCATCTAAGAGGTTGCACACTCTTGGTCGAGATAGTCAAAACCCAACTGCAAATGGTCTAAAGCAACTACTTAAGGCAGAGGACCTCCAGAGGTTCCTTTCAATATCAATATCAACTACACTTTCGACAATGCCAGCGGACACAGCCCATGTCTTTTGCCATCTGCTTAGAGGAGTAAAGCCTCATGCTATTTCTAAACTAAAATACACCCGTTCAGAGCTCTGTGTATGCGATATTTTAAGGAGCCCCAGGTGCTGTCAGTGAAGGCAAAGCCGGGCTGGGAGCGCGCCCCTCCCGCTCCTCAGGCGCTGCTCTGCCCCTGCTCCCGAAGGGCAGCCGCTTACAGCCGAAGCCTCAAAAGTAAATGAAAGGAAAACACCCACCATCAGTCATTTATGCCAACTTTTACCACAGGCCGTGAACGCACACTCAGCCTTGCCCCAAAACCACTTTTGTCAGCACAGCTAACCCAGCCCAGAAGGCAGCAGGAAGCCATTCCCTGAGCAAACCCGCGGGACGGCGGCGGGATCCCTCAGGGCAGGGAAACGGCATTCCCCAGTTCACATTCCCGGTGGCTCAGGCAGGCACTCCGGCAGGGCGGGACGCGCTTCCCCCTCAGAGCCTGGCGCGGCACGGCGGGAAGCGGTCTCCCTCCCCGGACCCGGCAGGGCGGGAAGCTCTCCCCCTCCGCCTAGGAGTAAGGCGCCCGGGCCGCGGTACCTGGGCAGTGACAAAGCCCTCGTAGGCGGTGCCGCGGCGGTCCTGCGGCAGCAGCAGCGGGCATTGCCGGAGCAGAGCCCGCGCCCCCGCCATGTTCCCGCCCGCCGCCGCCGCCGCCGTTCGAACGCGAGGCCCCGCCCCCGCCGGCGGGCGGCGCACGCGCCTGAGGGGAAGGAAGGGAGGGGCGGGCTCGTGAGGGGCGGCGCGCGCGCACCTGAGGAGAGGCGCGTGCCGCTGAGGGGAGGGCACCCGAGGAGAGGGGACGAGCGTGTCACTGAGGGGAGAAGCGCACCTGAGAGGAGAGGAGCGCACCTGAGAGGAGGATTGCGTCGCTGAGGGGAGCACAGCTGAGGAGGGGGGAGCGTACCTGAGGGGGGAGGTGCGTGTCACTGAGGGGAGCGCACCCGGAGAGAGGAGCGCACCTGAGGTGAGGGTTGTGTCCCTGAGGGGAATACGCTCACCTGAGGGGGAGCATACCTGAAGTGAGGGTTGTGTCGCTGAAGGGAGTACACCTGAGGAGCGGGAATCTCACCTGAGGGGGAGCACACCTGAGGAGCGGGATTCTCACCTGAGGGGGGAGCACACCTGAGGTGAGGGTTTTGTCGCTGAGAGGAGCACACCTGAGGAGCGGGAATCTCACCTGAGGGGGAGCACACCTGAGGTGAGGGTTGTGCCGCTAAAGGGAGCACACCTGAGGAGGGAGAAGCGCACCTGAGTGGAGGAACGCACTCGAGGGGTGAGGTTCGTGCCACTGAGGGGAGCGCACCTGTGGAGAGGCGAACACTGAGGGGAGAAGCGCACCGCGCTGAGGGATGAGCGCCCTCAGGGAAGTCGCGTCCCGAAGGCGGGAAACCCTGAGGGGCAGCCCGCGCCTTCCAGAGCTCCTGAAGGGCAGATTCCACAGAATCCCGAGGGGCAGCTTCCAAAATCCCAGGGAGCAGCCCTGTCTTCTCCCACAGAGAGGAGGGGCTCCTGCTACTTTGAGGAACGTCTTTTCCAGAGTGCTGAAGGAGCACGGCTTCCCTAGAGCAGAGCCGGGGTTTCCTCGCTATTTAGCACATCCTGGGGGGACTGGATTAAGTAAGGACTAGCTGTTAAGTAAGGATTAATATTAAGTAAGGGTCACAGTAGTCAGCTGACTGTGTCATGGAGATTTTTGTGCCACCCAGAGCAAGGGGTTACTCGATTTATACATTCTTTTCTAGGGGTCAACGTTTCCTACCATAACACTTTTAGGGTCATAATAGCTCTTCTGCCTTCTCACACAGGTGCTGGGATAAAAACCTTCCTCTCTTTTCTGGGTGGGTTGCTGCCAGGACCTGGCAGCCACAGTGTGTGGGAAAGCCTGAGGAGAGAAACTTAAAACTTTGGGGTATTTTGCATGTGTTTTGGAAGGCATTGAAACTTTGCACATCACTGAGGCTGAGCGTCATGCAAGATTCAATTTCCACCCAAATAGGCATGTTTAAGAAAGAAAACACTGCTTTTGCCTAATTAAATCTATTTGAACAAGAAAATATGGTTTTATTAAGAGATAGGTGACTTACCGCTTTAGTTTTATGAAGAGATACGTGACTAAGAGGTGTATGGCACAAGCAACTGTACCTGTGTGGGACGGGAGGTGGATTGAAAGACAAATGAAGAAAACCACACAAATGTTTACACCTGCAGCTAAATCCCATTCCCTTAGTTTGGGAGACCCACTCACAGGGATTGCATGGAAATAGAAGAGTCAAAAGCAGTGAAGCCCTTTGCTGCTTTATGTTGTTGTAAAGGTTGTTGGAAATATAACATAGAATGCACTAGGAGGTAACAGATAGGTGAAAGAGTCCCAAGATTTGACATGTAAACTCATCATAGGAAGATTTTCAGGAATATGTGCTACTAAATATATATTCTCACCACTGTTTAACTTTTTTTTATACCTTGGAAGTGTCACTGGTGATTTCCAGTGACACTTCCAGCAAACTATCAGTGTATTTGAGAAAGAAAGATTCAGTTCTGTGCAAGAATGTTGCTTTACTCACCCTTTTCTGCTCCAGAAAACCTTGGATAATGCAAGATTGTTACCAAGGCAAGAAACATTTTCTAAACATATGCACAATCAGGTTTTAAATACCATGGTGCTCAGCCCTTCTGTAGTTTGCTCCCCTGAAGCTGTTCCTGTGCATTTCACTACCCAGCATGGCTCACCACGAGCAGTTAATCCAGTGTTTCATAGCAATTTGTATCCCTCGTGTTATCTATTAATTTAATTTTGACCAAAACATTTCTGCTCTTGAGCTGTTTTCTCTCAGTATGCGTTGTACTAGAAATTACCTTATTTAATTGTGAAGTAGCTCTGTACTTTACCAGGCCCACTGATCATTTCTTAATTGCATCAAGTGCAAAATTGAAGGCAGGGGGTTTTTTCTTCTTTTTATGGCCATGCTTATCTGAGTCTCTGGCATTAAAAAAATGTCAAGTCCCTTTAGCCAAGTGCATTTATGGAGTAATGTATCTAAATAAAAATACCATAAGATCAGAAGCATAAAATATTCTACTACTGGAGTCCAGAAAACATTAATCATTATCTTACACTGTATATACTGCATACTTTGAAACTTTGTAAAAAAATGCAATTACTTGAAGCATCATGTTACTTTGAGCTGGAACACAGACCAGCATTTTTAAAGCAGAAAAACAAGATCAGTGAGAAGTTGGACAGCTCTGCTCCTCAAGGGAAAGGAGCACGGATCTGATCCTTCAGCCACAGGCCACATATACCAATTTAATTACAATTATTGTTTGCCCGAAGAATCATAATGGAGTATGTTATTAATTACTTGTCCATTCAAATATCATATTCAGCCAGTTAAGCCATCAATAAAATCATGGCTCCAGTGGCAAAACAAGCAGCGTACAGAGCAAACACTTGAAAGGACCAATTTCTGGGCTAAATTTTGTTAGTTAAGTCATCCCACAAACAGGCAGAAGGAAAGTACATTCATCAGTCAGAATGCACATGGAACCACACTGAAATAATGTGGATTTTTTAAGAGCTGATTTTTTTATTTATTTAAGGGTGTTATGAAAGGCAAGAAAATAACAGTGCATTGTTCTCCAGCATTAGTGTCTCCAACAAAAAACAATCCATTTAAACCCATGCAAAATGGCTAATACTGTTATTGCTGTCCTTTTTCATAACTCAGTGTCATTTTATTCATCTCGCCCCTAAGAAATGACCTTTTCTGTGCACATCACCACCTTTTCCCGCAAATCCCCTGAGTGACAGAATCTCATCCTAATCCCATTTCCATTTAGATGTTACAGGAAAGCATTGTAGACCTTGGAGGCAATAAGTAATCATAATGGAAAGATAATAATATGTTTATGAAATCTGGATTTTAGAATAGTAAATTGAAAAATTACAATAGTATTTCAAGCCACCGAAGGTCAATGTTACTAAGAGAAAAAAGCCATTGATCAAGTGTTCTCAAACTTTTCTAGTTTAGATTATTTTGATACAAAGCATCTCTATTTCAGAGAGCAGCACCTCTCTCCTGAGGTGATTCCTCACCTACCTAGCAGTCACACAATATGGTGTTATAAACAGGATTTAATATATTTTCCTACAAACAACTCCTTTTCTAGTGTGGCTTTATCTTTTAAGCAGACCTAAAAAACAGAGAACAACTTCCCAGGCCTTGTCAAAATGCACTACAGACCCCAGTTTAAAAATTCCAGCCCTTATTAATTCTTAAAGATAAAACAATATGTCAGAACTCATAACTAAATATACCAAAATAGTACTTTGAGTATTGTGTAGTTGTAGGTTTTTTAAATAAAGGTATATTTGCTTCCTTGTGTCTAAAAGCTACAAAGTTGTACATATAGAAAACCACTGAAACTTAACTGAAGTACTAGACAAAGAAAACCAAACAAAAACCCAGAACAACACTCCAGCCTTTTCTTCAGTAGTGAAGGAGTTCTCCTCCCTTCAATTTTCCACTGTTTTAAACACACCTCAGACTCACCAACAGCCATTTTTGGGACTCGCTGAAGTTTTCTGTGAATAAAGCAGCAAACCATGGTTGTTACCTGGAAAGGGTTTCATTGCGCTGCTGCTCCCCCTGAAAGGCTCCCTGCTGCTGTCAAGGACCATTGTGCTCTCCCCTTCCCCTGTTCTCGGCATTCCTGGCCCTGCAGCCTCTTCTCCCTTATGCCAGCTCAGGTTCCCAATCAATGCCCTTGTACAATGGGCCAGTTTGGTCACTGACCAAGAGCTAATGTGGTTTTTTTAATTCTTTTTTAACTGGCCTGATTTGCTGAAGCTGTGACAGAGGCTCTAGAGATGACATGAAGAAAGCATCGGAGGGCACATCCACAAGCCAAACCACCCTTTTTGGAAGCAAGATGTTAGATCAGACAGTGGAAGAGCAAACAGGTGAGAACTACCAGGCTTCCCCTTCTACCACCATCCTCCTAGGCCACGAGCTCTTACTGGCACAGTTTCCACAGACACTTCTTCCTTTGCTTATCCCTGGAGTGACAGGACAAGGGAGAATGTCTTCAAAGTGAGACAGAGGAGGTTTAGATTAGGTGTTAGTAAGAAATTATTCCCTGTGGTGGTAATGAGACACAGGCATAGGCTGTCCAGAAAACTGTGGCTGCCCCACCCCTGGAATTGTCCAAGACCAGGTTGGACAAGGCTTGGAATAACCTGAGATACTGGAAGGTGTGCCTACTCATGGCAGGTTTTGGAACTAGATGGTATTTAAGGTCCCTTCCAACCCAAACCATTCTGTGATCCTATGTGCATAGAGTTGTCTTATACTCTACTTTTATTTCTGGCTATTTAAAAACATTTTTCATCATTAACAGCTCACAAACTCAGGGACTCTGGACACCTCCCTCATAACACTTCAGTACAAAGCAGTACAGTTGTTCACAGAAGTGTCTAAGCAGCAAACACCTCTGTTCTGATGAGTTTGAATGCAATTATTCTTCTATATTTAAAGAACTTTACTATCATATCCCAACCAAGAGCAGTGATTGATCTATTAACAGTATAAAATGATTAAGTAAGCATTGGCTATTTTAAAAATGTCTTGGGACTAG